ATAATGATGATCATAATTAAGGTAAAAATATTACAAAACAAGTTTAAAAAGTCTCTGAGAGAAAAGTTTTGAATCTCTTCGGTATTAACTTAATAATAATAATAAATTTTTGCTTAAAAATATCTCACAAAAAGCAGTTCTCTAAAAAAAAATTGAAAGTTCAGTAAACTAAGCTACATACTAAAAAATCGACTACTTAATAATAATAATAATAATAATAATAATACAAATAATAATAATAGTATTAATAGTCTTTTTTTATTCTGGGCATCGGATGTAGATACTGCCAGATAATTATCATTTTAACGGTGGGCACTTCACGTAGTGGCTCTTCTTAATCATTGTGTTTAGTTCGAATTTGAATTTGAATCGTCGCTCGCCTTATTAATCTAGGAAGTTATTTGCATTTTAATTTCTGAAGTTTTGTGAATCCTACAGTTGCAGATTACGCATTTGAATTTCTGCGGAAAGGAACTCGTGACTACGTCATCATCACAAGTGGTATGCCAAATCTCACAGCAGTGACAGCTTGTTTGTGGATGAAAACGGCTGATACCGGAAATGAAGGAACACAACTGAGCTATGCTGTATCTGGATCAGACAACGAATTGACCCTGTGGAACTATAAGTCATTGGATTAATTGTGCGAGGAAGCCACGGGTACAAACAACGTGTACTGTGACTTCCTTAATTGTTTGGAAAAATTTATACTTGATGAAATGAACGCATAGACAGTGTAAAATTTGGTTGAATTAAATACCCTTGATCGCGACTCATGTTATGTTTAGGCCTTTTTTGTATGGATTGAATGCACATAAGATTTAAAATCATCTCACTAATAAACATGTTCGTACGAAGTAGCCCATGATAAAATGTATTTTTTGTTGACTGCATTTCTCATGTAGCATACTCTCTGTGCTGTTCCTCTACAGAGATTGTTCTTCCGTCTCTGCCAACGATGGAAGGTGGCATCACCACTGTGTTACATGGGAGAATACCGCTGGATCCTGGAAACTGTTTAAACATGGCTCCGTCGCGGCCTCTGGGTGAAGTCTCAAAACAGGTTAACTCTTCTTTGTTTTGAGTATATCAATCATCACAGCAAGAAGTTTTTCAGCTTTTTTTTTAAACAGAATTACTAATTTCAACGCAGAACCAAATAAAGAAGGCGAACTTTACAAAACAAACATGTACTACAGCGCTTGATATTGCAAGTGAGCAAACCAGAAAAAAAGGCAGTGCGCCCATAGTTTCATATTTTCATGTCTCTCCCCAGAAAAACTAATTGCTTTGTCTAAGGAATAAACAGAACACTTGACACAAAACTATAACTCATTTTGAATAGTCATTGATCTCTCATATTCATTTAGTAAACAGGAAGGTTCATTGTGCCCCTCGATGTTTTTTGTCTCTTGATTGTTTGCACAATCAAACAAAAACCAAGTTGAATATATATAAAGTTCCATACTTTTTTCTCGCAGGTCATGTGATACGTGGTGGTGGGACCCTGGTACTAGGACAAGAGCAAGACTCGTTGGGAGGATCCTTTCAATCCCTTCAAAGTTTCATTGGTGAAATGAAAGGTGCCAATTTCTGGGATCACGTGATAGTTGATCAGGAAATCGTACGAATGTCGCAATCGTGCTTGACAGGGGTGGGAAACGTGTTTCAATGGCACGATTTCAAGGCTCACGCAAAAGGTTCAGTAAAGATAACTAAGCCGTCGTGCTAGAGTGAAAAGACATTTGGAAAAAGATATGTTAAGCAAAGCAGAAGATGTTAGTTTGGACGATAACTTTGAAAACTATATTTTGATAATTATATTTGTGCCCCTATCTTTTCTTTTTTCTGAGTAATTGGTGAATTGTCGTTAGGCGAACTAAAAATTATCAGGGAATGAACAATTTGACATCTTTACTTAGGTGGGAACACATTTTTCTGGGCTCAATTCAAGCAATAGAAAATACTTTTCCTGGCTCTATGTAAGCAAAATAACATATTTTTTCCGGGCTCTGTAACTTGATAAAGCCACGCGGGATGTTGGGGGAACACGAGGAAAGGTTTTACTGAATTGACCAATCAGACGATGCACTTTGTTCATTCTATTATAAATATAAATAGATTGAAGCCGCGATTGGCTGCTCTGCTCTGTTGTGATTTATATGTGGCAATTTCCTCGTGACGATTTCCCTACGAGTGTTTGTCCCGACGATTCATCTGCGATGAAAAACCGGTGATGATAAGTTTTCAAAGAACATAACATAATAAAATCCCTAATTTGGCATAAGGTTTCACTTTGATCGTGAAAAGTCGTATGCGTTCAGTTGACGTGGTAACAGGATTAACGTCTTGCTCTGCTCGATTTGCTTTTTTTTCTGAAGTCGGTTTTTTTGGTCTTTATCACTCTGCTCCTTTAGTTTTCATACAGTTATGAACCTCTCAGGGCACTAATTTTGAATTGGCCATTAGTGATTTTATACTGTTTTATTTTCTGTAACTATCGTTGGTGAATAACATCAAACAGGCGCTTTAATTTGATATCATAATTCTTCATTGCATCAATGGAAGATTTAGACTAAATGCTACTAAAGCGATTGTTTGAGAGGTTCTGAGTTTTAATTCCAAAGATAAAGAATAGCTTCTCCTTAATCAACGCAGTCTGGTTTCATGGCGCACACTTTTAATTGGAATAAACAAAAGTAAGAATCTTCTTCATGCCTTAATTTAAAAGAGAAAGCAAAATGCGAGAAACAACGATTTCATTTAGCTTCTACAGACAAGAAATAGCTCACTGACTCATTTTAGATTTTTTTCTCACATTTCTTGATAATACAAGAGATATTTCTTATAATAACTTATTAGAAAGAGTAGGTTTAACAAAAGCGAAGGGCATTCCTTCACAAAGTTTTATTTATCATGTCGTTCAAAAGAAAAATAAACCCACTCTTATCATATAATTGGATATATCAACAAAGTTGAAATGGTAAATTGGCCACCGTAATGATTGCAAAAGCTGACGTTTCGAGCGTTAGCCCTTCGTCGGAGCGAATAGAGGAATTGTGGGTTGTGTGTGTTTTTAAAGGCAGAAAATGGAGCTACGTTATTGGTGGGTGCATGGCAACGAGAAAAACATGAATAAATTAGTGGAATGAAAAGAGTTCATTGATCCCTGTGGGATTGAGACTGCCGGTTTGAAAGATGAGCTTTTGTTCAAGATTTTTACGGCTTTCCGTGCCACCTAAGTGCAAGGAAAGACCGCAGATTGCCATATGTTGCTTAGAATGATTAGGTAAATTAAAATGTCTAGCGACTGGTTTAGATGTGTCCTTGTCATTCCTTTCCACGTCTCGAAGGTGTTCTCGGAATCGGTCACCTAGTCTTCTGCCCGTTTCGCCGATGTATATCTTTTTGCAATAAGTGCAATNTATTCATCGTATCTGATTTATCATCACGGGTTTATTACGAATCAGCTTAACGACCTGCTCCCAGTTGGCTTGTTAGGTCAATTGCATAAATAGCGCTCTCTACTGCTAGGATCGTGCATCATGCGTATTTATAACCGCAGTTCAAAATATATGAACTTCATATATGTATCGTAATGGATTGATTATTTGAATATTGAACCCGATAGCCGTATCCGTTTTGAAAAGGCGGGGATCATTGTTCAAATTAGAAGTCCATTTCTGAAGTCCAATAAGATTGTTCTATTTGACGAGGAATCCTGAAAATGAACAAACTGCACTGTAAAAACACTGCGAAAACAATCGATCGCAAATATTAACGAAATCAAAAAAGTCTTGCAATGGCTTCGCCCGTAAACTATTTTTTTCGACCACGAATACACACAGGAATTTCTACAAGCTCGTCTAGATGTAAATAGGCAAAAAAAGCTCTCGATAACATTCCATTTACAATATTTACAAGAAGTTCTGCACAACGCTCGAACTCACCTTTCCCGCCACGTCTGACGCCATGTTGAAATGGTTATGATACACCATCACGTGTTCGCATAATCAATCAGAAATGGACTTCTGATTTGAACAATGAACTGCGCCTTTTCAAAACGAATACGGCTATCGGGTTCAATATTCAAATAATCAATCCATCATTGCATTCTTGAAACGATTAGCGGGTTCCAGTTCAAATATTCAATTCGTTATTGCGCTCCTGAAACGATTAGCGGGTTGAACATTCAAATAATCAAATCAATGATGTAATCATGAGGGGTAAGCTTCAATAGTTTGACTGTAACACAAGCGAAGAACAGTCATTCAAATGTTTTGTTTAACATGCCTCTCAAAATAGAACAGACTGTTTAATCTTTTTGTAATCAACTACAAAAAGAAAAATATAAATATTGACTTACATTATCTTCATTGTCCAAAATACAAAAAACTGTTATATCTTATTTTATTCAATTGCAACAAGAAAACATAAATATTGACTGACTTAATTTACAACGGGTTTTGAAAATTTCTAGCTGGAAGAGTAAGTTTTCAATGATTTTCAATTTTTAGCTTTTTAATTAGCCGAGACTCAATTGCAGATACTCAATTGCAGATACTCAATTGCAGATACTCAATTGCAGATCCTCAATTGCAGATCCTCAATTGCAGATCCTCGATTGCAGATCCTAAATTGCAGATCCTCAATTGCAGATCCTCACTGCCTATGGGATTTTAACGGAAAACCTGTTTGATAAAGGACGTGTTAGTGGGATGACTCCTCATTAAAATTTACCTTTTTGAGTGCATGGTTGAAAAGATGACATGTGCTCCCTCAATTAATCGAAAACATACTTAAACCAGCTTCGACTAGAAGGCAGAAAGGTTGATCATTCTGTAACAGCTTTGCGATAGTTATCAGCATATCTTTTGTTTTCTTCAGTGTCTTGTATTTTTCAAACACTGCTAAGAGACATATGCAAAGTTCTCTTTACGGGGACTACAAAACAAAGTATGGAAAATGTAAAAAAATTCAAAACCAAAGTCTCGGCTTAGTCACAATAACAACGTCGCGCTTTCTTAAAGATGCCCTGGATTGTTCATTCAGTTGTGTTGGGAATCCCAAGTGCTACTCATATAATATAGCCAAATCTCCAGACTCAAGTGGTATCTATGTGTGTTAACTGAAGTTCTGGCCACAGACATGTATAGAGCTAAAGACAGACTTCAAGCCAACTCTAGCTTCCATTAGCTAGAGCAACTATGCAACATTAGCCCCATGGCGAGTGCTTAATTAATCAGGCCTCGCTCAGTTCAGTTTAGGTATTTAGCGTTGTCGTTGGTTTTTTTTTTTCATGTTTGCTGTTCCTGTGGTATGTTTGAATGTTATCCTTTTAAATAAATTAACTGGGCGCGTGCGTATTCTTTGGGTACAAAGCTTATGATTGAGCTGAAAATTGTTTTTGACAACTAAAGAAATGGTTAATTATTTAGCTCTCCTTTTTCGCTGGGAAGAGAGAAACTAGACTAAAAGAAGTTGTTCGTATAATTTTCATGATACAATCGTCATGTGAGAACTCACCCTGTCAGAATAACGGAGCATGCATTCTTGACTTTGAAGGAAATACTTATCTATGCAATTGTACATCATATTTCATTGGAACGTACTGTGAAACTCGTAAGTATGCCTTATCTTGTTAACATTCTTAGTTTATTAGCGCTGTATACGTAATTACTGTATAAGTAAAAAAACAAAATTTTAAACATAATTCGATAATCCATGACTAGCCAATGGTTGTGTATGTCCGCTATATTTGTTTGTTTTTCTTTTTGGCCAAACCTTGCAATTTTGACTTTGAAAATGGGCTAAGTGGCTGGATGAGGAGTGATACAGCTTTTAATAATCAGCCGACATACGGCAATAACTCGGGAGCGCGATCGAGAGAGTCTGCAAACCAACAAGGCAACTGGTGGATTGGAACTTTTGAAAATCGTCCAACTATTGATACAACTCAGGGATCTCTCACTTCCCCGCCCTTTAAAGTGCACATGACACGAAATTTTTTTTTCTCTTGTTTCTTGTGGTTGGATATTTATAGGAAACGTTTTGAAGCTTTAAAAGAACTAGAAAAATGTAAAAGCATTTATTTGGCTTTCAAAATAAGCGCAATTTGCCTTCAAATTAGTCCCGGAGACTGGGACCTAGTTTATCGCCGTAGAAGTTATTCATGACGTCAAATTGTGTACCTTTGCCGCGAAGGTCTGTTGTCGCTAAGAGTGCAATACTTCGTAATAGATAGAATAGAATTATAATAATAGAATAGTAATAGAATAGGTCTGTTGTCGCTAAGACTGCAATACTTCGCAATAGATAGGTAGTACATTTAAAGGCAAAGATGTCCAGTGATTCTAATGATTCCTTTGAGTCCGACTCTTCTGAAAGTTCCATTGACTTCGAAGAATCTGGGTACATAATGTGACGTCACGTGCGATTTTGGCTGCGCGATGACCGGGACAAATTTGAAGGAAAATTGCCTGTATTTTGAAAGCAAAAAAAATGATTTTTACACTTTTCCAGCACTTTTGAGGCTTTGAAACGTTTTCTATAGATATCCAACTACAAGAAACAAGAGATAAAAATTTCGTGTCACATGCACTTTAAGATCAACGGGAAAAGTGTTGAGTTTCTCATCGGTGGAGGTTGTTATATTGACATAGTTCGGGCAGAACTTATTGTCAGGGATCAAGTGAGTGCAAATACCTCTCAACTTTAATACAATGATAACTT